AATAATATAAAGTTTACATACTTTTACCACTAAATACAGACCCTTGTCATTTCCTTGAAGGCAAACAGTCACAATCTTTGACAAAGACTTGAAAAGATAAGAATTGGCAGGAAACAAAAATAAGGAAAAGTGCAAAGAAATTAAAAATTAGAAAACTTTTTGAACTAAAACAAACTCTATCTATATATACAAAAATCTAATCAAATATTATCCTTTCTGTAACAGATTTTGATTCGTAAATATGTTGTAATAAATGCTCCATATAAGGCTCTCTAAGCCACAAGTGTGTATGTATATACATTCGTAGGGTTGAGGGGATTACCTTCGTAGAGTCAGGGGATTCCCTTGTAGAGTCAGGGGATTACATTCGTAGGGTTGAGGGGATTACATTCGTAGAGTCAGGGGATTACATTCGTAGAGTCAGGGGATTACATTCGTAGAGTCAGGGGATTCCCTCGTAGAGTCAGGGGATTACATTCGTAGAGTCAGGGGATTTCCTCGTAGAGTCAGGGGATTACATTCGTAGAGTCAGGGGATTCGCTCGTAGAGTCAGGGGATTACATTCGTAGAGCCAGGGGATTACATTCGTAGGGTTGAGGGGATTACATTCGTAGAGTCAGGGATAACATTCGTAGAGTCAGGGGATTCCCTCGTAGAGTCAGGGGATTACATTCGTAGGGTTGAGGGGATTACATTCGTAGAGTTGAGGGGATAACATTCGTAGGGTTGAGGGGATAACATTCGTAGAGTCAGGGATTACATTCGTAGGGTTGAGGGGATTACATTTGTAGAGTCAGGGATTACATTCATAGAGTCAGGGATTACATTTGTAGGGTCAGGGGATAACATTCGTAGAGTCAGGGATTACATTCGTAGAGTCAGGGATTACATTCGTAGAGTCAGGGGATTACATTCGTAGAGTCAGGGGATAACATTCGTAGGGTCAGGGGATTACATTCGTAGGGTTGAGGGGATTACATTCGTAGAGTCAGGGGATTCCATTCGTAGAGTCAGGGGATTACATTCGTAGAGTCAGGGGATTCCATTCGTAGAGTCAGGGATTACATTTGTAGGGTCAGGGGACAACATTCGTAGGGTCAGGGGTTTCACTATCACTAAGCTAAGCTAGAATCAGAGAAAGATATTTGATCATATCTGAGGTATCTATCTCTTTTGTGGTTCTTTTAGGAAAGACATAAATAATTTGTTGAATTGTAATTTAATGGGATTTTCAAGATTTTCTAAACTTTTGATGTGTTTGGGGATATTCCAATTTAGTCTGTGGCTCTTGCAATTCACAAAGTGACATCACTATTGCAAAGGTTCTTTGTTACATTTGCTATAGTGACCTCTTAAAACGATTAGATATAGTACAATTGCAAGAATCACAGATATTCAACTGAAAATTACAAAGATATAAATCAATGCTATCAGTGGTCCTGATACACATAAAAAAAAAAGTTAGAAAACCTCTTTACAATCACTCTAAGTTCACTATTCATAATTTTTGTTAACTGAATTATCATTTAAGATTTAATAAGTGTATTTTCTTCAATTTGAAACGCCCCAGATAGGAATATAGTCAAACATCTGGCTCTAAAATAAAAACATAATCTCAAACAGTCGGATTTATTGTTAAATTAAAGGGATATTATCTCTTAAAATCGACAGAAAATTTTAAGTCTCAAACAACTTGGTCAGTAAGTGTATATATTCATCAGTTGACTTACCTGGTGTCATGATTAAAGAAAAGAATCTCTATATAAGATGATATATTCATTAAACTAATTGAAACACACTTCTTATTTTAATGATTTAGTACTTATTTTAATGATTTAGTACTTATTTTAATGATTTAGTACTTAGTTTAATGATTTAGTACTTATTTTAATGATTTAGTACTTATTTTAATGATTTAGTACTTATTTTAATGATTTAGTACTTATTTTAATGATTTAGTACTTAGTTTAATGATTTAGTACTTAGTTTAATGATTTAGTACTTATTTTAATGATTTAGTACTTAGTTTAATGATTTAGTACTTAGTTTAATGATTTAGTACTTAGTTTAATGATTTAGTACTTAGTTTAATGATTTAGTACTTAGTTTAATGCTTTAGTACTTAGTTTAATGCTTTAGTACTTAGTTTAATGATTTAGTACTTAGTTTAATGATTTAGTACTTAGTTTAATGATTTAGTACTTATTTTAATGATTTAGTACTTATTTTAATGAATTTATTGGATTATAAAGGGATTCTGTCGTAGAATTTTGACACCAGGTTAGTCCAATAATGAACGAAGACAAGTTTTAAATTCATCCTAAGAGGTAGTATACCTTTAAGCAGTAATAAACACAATGTTACACAATGTTAGTTTAGTCTTTATACCAAAATCTAATTAATACAGCATGTGTTGCTATTTTCAATCAGGCCTGGATGAGCAAAAATATATTTAAATGACCATAAATATTTTTTGCCAAACAAATATCAATAACAACAAACATCAACAATTAACGATAAATAAACAATGTTCGTTGAAGGCGGGGTCAAAATAAACTCTGTCATGACACCACTGGTATATGTTATATTACTAATATAAACCCTGAAGCACATTTCATTATATTGAGCAATTGGTATTAGGTACTACACTAAATATATATTTAAAAGCTTAAGTTCTACTCCAATAAGCTGAAATTGAGTTCTATCAGCTGGTAAAGTAAATATTTAGATGACTATACAGATAGCTGAAATTGAGCTCTATCAGCTGGTAAAGTAAATATTTAGATGACTATACAGATAGCTGAAATTAAGTTCTATCAGCTGGTAAAGTAAATATTTAGATGACTATACAGATAGCTGTAATTGAGCTCTATCAGCTGGTAAAGTAAATATTTAGACCATTTATCTTTTAAAAGATATAAAATTGATCTTGTGGAATTTACATGTCAAATATTCAAAAGCTTGAACGTTCTAAAAGAAAATTTCAGGTGATTGGCCACTTAACGATAAAAAAAATCACAGTTTAAAAAGTTGAAATAGACCCTGTATTTTTAAAGAGATCAGTTGAGAATGTAAATGTGTTAGTTATTTTAACAGCTGATAGTGAAGCAAATATTTATTAACAAAGGATTTTACGATAATGAAATATTTTTTGTGTTACAATAGTGCAAAATACTTAAATATATAGAAATATCACTGTTAAAATAGTGCTCAATACATCAATTGTAGAGCGATGTAGAAATACCACTGTTAAAATAGTACTCAATACATCAATTGTAGAGCGATGTAGAAATACCACTGTTAAAATAGTGCTCAATACATCAATTGTAGAGCGATGTAGAAATACCACTGTTAAAATAGTACTCAATACATCAATTGTAGAGTGATGTAGAAATACCAGTGTTAAAATAGTGCTCAATACATCAATTGTAGAGTGATATAGAAATATCAGTGTTAAAATAGTTCTCAATACTTCAATTGTAGAGCGATGTAGAAATACAAGTGTTAAAATAGTGCTCAATACTTCAATTGTAGAGTGATATAGAAATACCACTGTTAAAATAGTGCTCAATACTTCAATTGTAGAGTGATGTAGAAATATTCAAACAGAACCTGAAACATGCTACTCAAGAGTTTTATGCTGTGCCATATTCAGACAACTGACCTAGCCTTCTCTCCGTGTCAGATAAATATTTCTACCAAAGATTTCATAACAAATCTTATCTTTCTGCCATATTTTCTATTTGAGTAAACTCCTAATTAATTAAACCTAATTAGTAATAGTTAAAGGTTTCAGTATTCTGTAATCCGGGTAAGGAGCACTAGATTTTAAAATAATTTCTATAGATTTAATAGATTAGAATCACCAAGATCTAAGAAAACAAAATATAAGCAGTAATTAATAATTTGTAATTTTCTCCTACAGTCAGTGGCTCAACTAGATGAGTGGGGGTTCGTGGAGTTATGTGGGGTGGGGGTTTGTGGAGTTGTGTGGGGTGGGGATCTGTGGAATATGTTGGGTTGGGGTCCGTGGAGTTATGTGGGGTGGGGGTTGGGGCTCGTAGAGTTATGTGAGATGGAGGCCTATAGATTTATGAGGTGGGGCTCCTCACCCAATAAATTTTTAACATCTGCTCTCCTGTATTTGGTGGGAGCCCTTAGTAGCTATGGTAGTTGAGCCACTGTATAAAGTTTTATACAACAGGGCAATGATATCAGTTAATAAAATAATAAAAGTTTTGAAGCAGTGAGAACTTGTTATACCTGAAATTAAAATATATAATTAATTGATATGACGTTTAGATTTTTAGTAGATATTTTCAGATCTATTTCACACCTACAACATTTATCACAGTAACATTTCAACATTTCAACATTTCCTGTTCATGTTTTAATATTTGGCTTTTGAAACACCACAAAATAATGAGTTGTTGTCAAGGCAACAACACCATTCTTAACACCAAGATAAATAGAGTCTGTGTTTGATTCTTTATGTTTATTGCACTCACGGTTATTTTCACCTTTTTTAACACAAATTTGTGATAGAATTGCGTTATCAGTTTTTCACCAAATTTTCACAAAAAACGAGATGGAATGGCTCTTTTTGTTTCATTTAATTGGAATGAATTCACAGGTACTATTCATGCGTCAAAATCCAAATGTGGAACCATAAATTTTTTATATGACTATGTAACACATTTTACCCATGAATATCAATGAGAAACTTTGATTAATATTCAGATCGTTGTTTTGGAATTAATTGACTTCGTTCATTAACACATTTAACAGCAAAAATTCACATGTCACATTTGATTGGCTGATTCTAAATCAGAGGTTTGTGGCGTGATTAATTAGGCTGATGAATTATTCATGAAGCACTTTAAATAAATTCAAATTTTTCCATGCAACACACACATGGTATGAATTATATATTAAATATATAGGAATGATAATAACATAATAACAACACTGGGGATACCATAGATGATTTTTGAAATAATTCAGCACAAGTCTGGCCAGCCTGCTCGTTTGTTAAAGCCGTTTATCTCAGCGTTAAAATCACTCTGACTCCCAGCGATTGAATCGGGACCTACAAATGTTGCATTGTCTTGAATAAAGGGAGATGACTCGGAATCTGATTCATACCCTGTTGTCAATGCATCAAATGACCTTGGTAAACATTGTGACTGTAAGAATATTGAACGTAGCTGATGCGTTTCCTCAGAATTAAACGAATATTCAGTTTGTGAGGACAGAAGATGTTTGATCAGATTTATAGTTCCGGAGAAAGACACTGGCGAACAGCAGGACCCATCACGATCTTGTTTCACTGCTGAAAACATCTTATGAAATTTGGTAAAAGGGAGACAACTATAGTCCTCAGGGTTCCCAAAACATACCCCAACCACTTTCTTCCCAAAATTTTGCGCTGTCAATTTTTTGATAAATCTCACACAAATCTGATCTGCAAGATTCTCGTGAAACATGTCCGGCTCTGTGAAAGTTATTTTCATGTTTTCCGATGCATAAATTATGAAGTAATGATTATCGTGCTGAAGAGCTAAGTTGATTTGTTCGTCAATCCATATTGAAACCTCCGGCAGATCTTGAACCTTAGCTGATTTCTCATCGCATAAAAATGGAGTCGGATTTGCTTTAATTCCATCTTGTTTTTCCAGCAGTTTCAGATGAGCTTCCACCATATTTTTCACCAACTCAGGTTGTTGAAGAAGTATGGGGGTGATGATCACTAAAAATAAACAAAACAATCCATTATGTTAATTGATTTTGGGTTTTTGCCGAAACGCGTTTATTCAATTTGAAGCCAACCTTTGTCCTGATATATGACCATATCCTCAATAGGGTAACAGTCTGTAGCTCATATAACCAAGTAATTATGATTCAAACTGCAAAACAAAATCCAAAACAACAATTTGGTGAAAAATTGGTAGCAGCTGATGGACTTTTCACAATAGGAAGTATATCAATCAATAATGATAAGTGGTATCAGGTGTCTAGAAGAGGAAGCAAGCCCTATCTGGCGCCATTAAATACATGATATAGTTGAATAACTTTATTTAAGAGTGTACATAATATCAAAGCCAAAAAAAGTTATCTGTTACTGTCAACTTGTAAATAAATCAGTTTTCGAGTTGGCTAACATTTAGCAATTATTTTGATCTGTCTTCAGAACAGTTACTAATGAAAAAAAAATGTTGGTTTTATGATGTTTTTGGTCAAAAATAAAACTTCAAAAAGTCTGAAGTCTGTGATCAGCATTGTTCAATTAAAATGAAAGTATAGAATCAAAGTATTATAATAATCTGAAAGAGTTGATAGAGTTAATAAACTGTCTAGTTTTTATATCTTTGTAAATTTTTTAAAACAACAATGTGACCTGTAGTAGATACACTTGAGTTTTTAACAAGTTTGGATAATAACATAAAAGAGACATTGCCTTCTGTCTGAACGCTGTATTAGAAGATAGCTTGCCAGGCAAGGTAATATAAGCCCACTGGCAGCTTTGATTTTGAATAAAAATATTTGGCAGTACAGTAACAATTACCCGTATGAATAATGTGCAGAACCTGTAGCACACGGGGCCTTGGTTTATTATCCCATCCGAACGACTAGACTTTTCCATGACGCCCCCTCGTACCTGCATCACTGACAGGGGGAAACTAAAATAGATAAGACAACTCACCTGAATTGTTGTCATGGACTTGATTTCTCATCATATCTGTTTCTTCTTCTTCCTGTCCTTGACAAATCTTTTGAAAAAACTTAAAATGTTTTTCTGAAATCAAAGTGTAACTGTCCATTGACAAGCATAAAATATAAATAATAGTTTTAGCTAAGCTAAACAGTAATAGCGTTCACAGTTCACTGTCGAAATTTGAGTCTTCAAATCCATGTGTGTCCAGACTTATGCGTGTTTGAAAGTTAAAAAGGCAGGTCTTTACATATATTCAAGACTAAAATCAACGCCCTAAAATGGCTCCCTTTAGATACTTACTGGTACAATTGCGTTTACGCATGAAAATAATGAAAAAAACCAGGGCAAGAAGAAATAGGATGACAACAGTAACCATTAAACCAATATAAACAGTGTGATTGGAATTCTGGCTTTCTGATTGATGTAATGTAGATGTATGATTTGATCTTCCAGTCACAGGTGGATCTGATGTTACTGAAAAAAAAACGAGATTTTCATTTAAAAAATAATAAAATGTAGATGTCCATAAAAAAAAAGAATTAACAAAAAACTTAAGGATTGAATGTAGTTTTTTTGCGTTCATTGGTTCAATTTTAACATGTTAAATATTTTGCCATTCATTTGAATTAACACGTGAAAATTCATCAACCAATGAACGCAAAAAAATCTACATTCAATCCTTATATTTACAGTCGGTAGTGTTCAGTGTTCACTCTTAAGGATAAAATTATTGCTATAATATAGTTAAACCTATCATTATTGTCAAAAAAGTGCAAAAAATAAACAGCAACACGGAATGAATTTTTCAACAGAGATCATAACTGACATATCAGCATCAACAAACATAACTCATTTCATCTGATGACAACACATGTAATTTGTGTTGAAACATTTTGTGTTGAATATTTTTTTTAAAGAAGTGTGTTAATTCCATAATGCTGTCTTGTGTTTCTGATTTGTATTCTTACAGAGACTTTTACACAGGTCAAAAAGTAGGTTCTGGAAAATAGCACATGTTTTTGAAACTGAATTTGGGTAGCTAACAACATATCATAGACTCCAAAGACGTATATGATAAATATTGCTAATGTACACGAAGGGCATAAGTAAATTCATTAGTTGAAAGGTAGATTATCGTATACTGTACCTGGTATCATTGGCTCAATAAGATATTTCTGACCATTGGTCACCCAATCATCTAATGGATTACGTTCAGTAAAATATGGTCGAAACTAGAATTACAAAAAAAATTACTTAAGTACTCTTGTTCCGATCTGGAAAACAGAACTGAAAATTTCACATAAAAATGGGCCTCCACTTAAAGAGTTTATTTTGCAATTCTTCGTGAGGTACTCGAGAGAGATAAAATTGGAAATGCAATCAGAGAGTTGATCAACTAACACATTAGGCTGGGGGCTGATCAGAATCACTTTTACAACCTAGAATCATTAGTCTCATAATCTCATTGGTCATATCACTCTACCTTGGGTTTCGCTATCCCACAATTTATAGTATAATTAGACACAGTTTCGTCATGACGCACTGTGATTGGTTGAAATGAACAAAATTGTAATAGAGTTTCAATGAGATTCCTTAATCCCCTACAACTGGCTGCAAATGAAATGAAATGAATGGAGTTTTACATCCTACTTTTCTACACCACGTGAGCTATGCACATGCAAATTGGCAGTGCCAGGGTACAATGAGGGAAATTTTGCCAGGACAGTGGCATTAGCCTGTTCTTTTTGCGATTTCCAACTGTCAAGGGATTTTAAACATGCACAGCCTGTAGCACACAGGGCCTCGGTTTATTGTCCTATCTGAACGACTAGACTCCCCTCTTGCCTGCATTACTGACGGGCGGAAACCGGGTTGAAATATCCAAAGGTACTACTGGCTGGAGATTTGATGTAAGGACTGAACTTACCATGACACAAACTGACTCATTGCTCGGTACTCTAATAAATTTGTCTATTCTTTCTTCTGTCTACAAAATATAAACTTATTGTAAACACTAACAGGCTTTTAATAAAATTACTATAAACGAAGTACTAACCACCCTAACCACAAAGCGAAACCTGAAATCCAATCAACATATCGTGGTACCATTCGAAAGCTTGTAAGAGCGTAGATCTTGTGAGCAAAACCTCATATTCTTAGCTTGATTGTAAATAACCCAAAAACCACTAATTAAATAACAGTCAAAAAAAAAAATGGAAAAGATTTTAACAAATTACGCGTACAAATAGTTTTTTCGTTTTTCTCGAATAGTAATTTAACGTCATATATCGTTATACGAGGTTTCAACCACAATATTGGCGAAACATTAGTGGCAGCTAATGAACTTTTCACGAGGAAGTATATCAATTATAAATGAGTAAGTATTTAATAATGAAAAGTGGTATCAGGTGTCTAAATGAGAAAGCAAGTAAGCATACCCTGCCTGCTCATCTCATGCTGACGATACATTTCAGATGAAACATCCTTTATCAAAAGATAGTTATCATTAAATACTAACAGACATTGATGCTATGTAATAGCAAAACTATATTTGATTTTAATAGAGGATATTGACTGTCAGTCATTTGAGGTGCTCCATCGGTCATGACCGGCAAATAGAGTCAAATCAACAGCCCTGATTCAGGAAAGACAGCTGTAGTAAAACAAAGAAATTTCTGATCAATGAACAGCAGCACAACTTAATTCCAGGTCTCTCAATTGTAAGAAGGTACCTAGCTGTTGATGCTTTTAACATAAGTTTGCTTTTTAAAGATGGCGGTTACGGTTGTATATCAGGACAAAGGTTGGCTGGAAAAGTAATCATAGATGCTAATTTATTCATTTTTCAAGCCAACTTTTGTTCTGATATACGACCATAATAGTCATAGGTCAACAGTTTATTGCTTAAATATATAAATAAATGAAAATAAGGAGCCCTTATATATAAAGTGTTACATTGTTATCAGTGCTTACCTTGTTAACTTTTATCTTTCCTCCAATACAAATTCCTTTCAAATTCTGCAAACAGATGAGATGGAATGTGGCAGTTTGTAAGGGCGAAAAACTTACCATTAAGCCTGTTGTATTTTGTTTGACGCGGATTTTTGGCTCCCACATCTTTACAGATGGTTTTCCTAAAAAGATACAAAGTATTAAATATATCAAAACTCTGTCAGCTCAGTAAATATCTTACTGAAGCTAAAACATTCCAAAAAATAAAAAGCTATAAGTGTCCCTGATACACATACAAAGACTAGAAAATCAGAATGGTGTAAATAGAAGCTATAAGTGTCCCTGATACACATACAAAGACTAGAAAATCAGAATGGTGTAAATAGAAGCTATAAGTGTCCCTGACACACATACAAAGACTAGAAAATCAGAATGGTGTAAATAGAAACTATAAGTGTCCCTGATACACATACAAAGACTAGAAAATCAGAATGGTGTAAATAGAAGCTATAAGTGTCCCTGATACACATACAAAGACTAGAAAATCAGAATGGTGTAAATAGAAGCTATAAGTTCCCCAGATACACACACAAAGACTAGAAAATCAGAATGGTGTAAATAGAAGCTATAAGTGTCCCTGATACACACACAAAGACTAGAAAATCAGAATTGTGTAAATAGAAGCTATAAGTTCCCCAGATACACATACAAAGACTAAAACCTTTTTTGTATCCCTTCCAAAATATACACCAGTATTTTCCACAAGATGAAACAGAATGGTGAACTAAGGTCTGTCAAAAGATTATAAAAGATAGGAAATTGCCAGGTGATTTGACGTTATTTGATTTAAATCTTTAATAATTTGTAAAAACTTTCCTCAACTGTAATTTACCCTCCCTTGTTAGTTCTTATTGAGGAAAAAGTAGTTTGCAAGGCAAGGTAATATATGCCAACTGAAAAAACAAATGTTTAAAGGATGACTAGAAATTTCAACAGAAGAAATATTCTATTCTGTTGACAAGGCAAGATGAAACATTTGATAATGAAAATGTTTTTTGGAAAAAGGATACTAGGTGGAAGCAATTTCTTACATTGACCTTAACACGAATAGAAATAATATAAAGTGGAATGAACTATTTTACATCCTGCTATTCAGCACCTTATTAGTATAGTATGGACAACTGTAAACCATGTAAAACAAAAGAAATTTTAAACAAATAAGAAACCTATTATAGATATTCTACTCCTTTCTTTAATTTTTGGAATGTTTCAATTCACATATAGGAATCTTTATCAAGAATAAAATATTAATGATAGAAAACAGAACGACAAGTATATATATAAACAGTAAAAACTGAAATCTAAGATCAAGGGAAATTTTGTCAGGACATCGACAATAGCCAATGCATTTTCAATTTTCAACTGTTGAAGGATATTTTATGTGCATAGATTGATACCTAAACTAATGAATCTACTTTAGCTAAAAGCTAGTATCTGATAATTGAGCGAGGAGGAAAAAAAACAAAAAATGAAAGAAAATGTTTCCTGGCGGTAAAAATCAACACCTTAAGAAAACAGGAAAAGAGCAAGATAAGCTTTGAAAGGAGATGAAAATTTTGAGAAATTTTATTTTTTTAAATATAACTTTAATTAGATTAATAAACTAGTTTTTCAATACTAATCTGTAAATAAGGATATTTCATTTTGTACTTCATAGGTCGGTGACTCCGAGATCTGACAAAATAGTTAGCAACACATGTTCAAGGTCATCAAAATCAACAAATTAATAAGTAATTCCAACAAAATAGTGCTCAATACATCAATTGTAGAGTGATATAGAAATACCACTGTTAAAATAGTGCTCAATACCTCAATTGTAGAGCGATATAGAAATACCACTGTTAAAATAGTGCTCAATACATCAATTGTAGAGCAATATAGAAATACCACATTAAAATATTGCTCAATACATCAATTGTAGAGAGATATAGACATACCACTGTTAAAATAGAGCTCAATACATCAATTGTAAAGCTATATAGAAATACCACTGTTAAAATAGTGCTCAATACATCAATTGTAAAGCTATATAGAAATACCACTGTTAAAATAGTGCTCAATACATCAATTGTAGAGCAATATAGAAATACCACATTAAAATATTGTTCAATACATCAATTGTAAAGCTATATAGAAATACCACTGTTAAAATAGTGCTCAATACATCAATTGTAGAGTGATATAGAAATACCACTGTTAAAATAGTGCTCAATATATCAATTATAGAGCAATATAGAAATACCACATTAAAATATTGTTCAATACATCAATTGTAAAGCTATATAGAAATACCACTGTTAAAATAGTGCTCAATACATCAATTGTAGAGTGATATAGAAATACCACTGTTAAAATAGTCCTCAATATATCAACTGTAGAGCTATATAGAAATACCACTGTTAAAATAGTCCTCAATATATCAACTGTAGAGCGATATAGAAATACCAATATTAAAATAATGCTTAATACATCAATTGTAGAGAGTTGAAGATCTGTTCTTGTCAAACAGATCAGTTGTCTGAAGATCTTTACTTGTCAAATTTCAGTAGAGATGTAGGTTGAAATAGATCAGTTGTCTGAAGATCTCTACTTGTCAACTTCAGTAGAGATACAGACTGAAATAGATCAGTTGTCTGAAGATCTCTACTTGTCAAACTTCAGTAGAGATACAGACTGAAATAGATCAGTTGTCTGAAGGTCTCTACTTGTCAAACTTCAGTAGAGATACAGGCTGAAATAGATCAGTTGTCTGAAGATCTCTACTTGTCAAACTTCAGTAGAGATGTAGGTTGAAATAGATCAGTTGTCTGAAGGTCTCTACTTGTCAAACTTCAGTAGAGATACAGACTGAAATAGATCAGTTGTCTGAAGATCTCTACTTGTCAAACTTCAGTAGAGATGCAGACTGAAATAGATCAGTTGTCTGAAGATCTCTACTTGTCAAACTTCAGTAGAGATACAGACTGAAATAGATCAGTTGTCTGAAGATCTCTACTTGTCAAACTTCAGTAGAGATGCAGACTGAAATAGATCAGTTGTCTGAAGATCTTTACTTGTCAAACTTCAGTAGAGATACAGACTGAAATAGATCAGTTGTCTGAAGATCTCTACTTGTCAAACTTCAGTAGAGATACAGGCTATTAATAAAAATTATAATTAGATTCCTGAAATACCCACCCATGTTTGATTTGTAACAGTTCTCAACCATTTTCATTTTTCACACAAATATGTTGAGCTAACTAATTCAAACACTTCTACGATCGGTTAATTTTCCTTCATTTAGAGTGTTCACTGGCACAATCTTTTACAGGTGGAGATCACAATATATAACATAGAACAGTTTTTGGTAAGCTACACGTGAATCCACTTTGTCTTTCATATATTTTAATCTTATTTTCACGTCAAATGTTGACAGTTCTGAGGAGACTCATTAATTTGGTATTCTTCTGCTGGTTTTTATCGACAAATTCTACAATTTACATTATCATCATCAATTTGTTAGTATGGTATTTTACTGCTGGTTTTATTGTAGGATACACAACATTTCTACAATTTACATTTCCATATGGTACACCTTGGATGTAGAGAATATCTTTATATAACCTTAAATCCTTTAAAATGAGTCATTTGCCTTTTAAAACAAACATCACACTTGGATGGATACTCATGAATTGAAATGTAACACTATGCAGATAAAGTTACAAGGGTGTTAACATGTTTACTATAATAACTCTCGAACCATATCAAAACCTAAATGAAAAGCACTTTTCATCAAAGAATCTTAATAATATTTCATACTATAAGGTATTCAGTTACTAAGGTCAGATAATTTTTTATCACCCAAATAACTATTGAGCTGTATGAGAATTTTTATGATATGCAAATGTTATCCAAAAAATAGGTATGCAGTAATAAAGATTGGTAATGTTTGTATCATCCAATAGCTATCATAGTTACATATAATATTATATCACAATTCTAATGATAAACACTTGTCATCTCAATTACGCAGTTATATAAGTCAGGCTGTGTGTATATATATATTCATCACAATACAGGTATGCAGTTATCAAATTTAAACAGTTTATTACAAATCTTAAAGGGACTGATGCACCATTTTTTTGACCAATCATACTTTAGTCTCAGAAATGGGAACTTTTTTTGCTAAGCCAATCAGTAATAGTGTTCACAGCTACCCATCGAAATATGAGCCTTCAAATCCATGTGTGTGCAAAATTATCTGCGTTTAAATGTTAAAATGACGGCTCGTCAATTTAAGATACTCTGTGATATATACAAAAGACATATATAGAATTGTTAGTAGGATTCCTAGTTTGAGATATTTTTAAAGGAATTATGTGAGTCTCTTTAATCATTAAAGTTATTATGATATATCATACAGGTGTCATCTAAACAATTAGTAATAAACATGGTGGGTATATAACTAGTGATATGGAAAGGCTTTTTGAGTAGAATTTTAATGATATACCATATACATACCATAAAGCCTCATATAGGCACATTCCCATATAAAATCGTGTGGTTTAACGAATCTCTGAATAGCAGCCATTTTGAGATACACATGTCAGAATCGTATGAAATACTGTATAAGCTACTGTCATCCGAATAATAAGTTATGAATACTAGAATCCATAGTACGATATGCTATACAAGTCAAAATAATATCTTTAGATATATTACACAAGTCATCAAAATAATTAGGTATGAAAGCTGGAATCTATGTTTAAATCCAGGGTATCTACTAGTAAATAGTGCTAAAACATGACATAAATCCACGTGTAATCCACATAATTAGATATGAAAGCCAGAATCCATGTTTAAATCCAGGGTATCTACTAGTAAATAGTGCTATAACATGACATAAATCCACGTGTAATCCACATAATTAGATATGAAAGCCAGAATCCATGTTTAAATCCAGGGTATCTACTAGTAAATAGTGCTAAAACATGACATAAATCCACGTGTAATCCACATAATTAGATATGAAAGCCAGAATCCATGTTTAAATCCAGGGTATCTACTAGTAAATAGTGCTATAACATGACATAAATCCACGTGTAATCCACATAATTAGATATGAAAGCTGGAATCCATGTTTAAATCCAGGGTATCTACTTGTAAATAGTGCTATAACATGACATAAATCTAGGTGTAATCCACACAATTAGATATGAAAGCTGGAATTCATTTTGAAATCCAGTGTGTCTAGCGAGTGCTATAACGTGACATGCAGGTCACAATAGGGCTATTATATACCGGTCCTTTTAAAATATTATTATATATATATCACTGTTCGAGATCCAAGTATAAACTTGCTGAAATCCTTTTAGTTATCCAGTCGTATGGGTTCCTCACTTGTTATAGTACTCAAAATAGGTCTACATGTCCTTTACTCAAATCCTTGTTCTAACCAGTCTTTTGAGTTCTTCATAAGTCCTTATCCTCACGTTTACTGTCCAAAGAAGATAGGACACACTGTGCCCCTCATGGATTAGTTCTAAAAGTTAGGTCTGAATAGGATTTACATATCTCTGAATAAATATCCATACAGATAACTCTATCAAATATTTGTCTATATCTTTTTTCTATATTTCAATATTATCGAGATAAGAAAACCTAATTTTTTTATCAGGGTGAGCTTATTCTTTGGTGTGCAAGAGGTCCCCTTTAAATTCATTTCTCAGTCAGTGTATGTAGTTATGTTGGATAAAAATAGGCCAAATAGGCCATTATATTTATCAAACTACCCATCAATGACAAAACAAGGTAGTTATAGGCCTAATTATCATATCTAGGTGTGTTTAAAAAAGAGGTACTCTGCTACAAACTTATTTTATCATTGTATATAGAAATATTAAAACGGAAACTGAATCATGTTCTACTCAGAGTTTCATACTGTGTGATCTTACAAACTGAGAAAGCCTCTTCACCATCCCTTTAATAACCTGTACATGTTGTGTCCTAGCTACTATTACTGTTATAAATAGTCAATTGTAGTACAATGTAGAGATATATCTAGTTATTATCTACTATTAGCTAGAGATGTAATGAAATATACATCCTGTTTTTAAAATAGAATAAAATTCTTCATACCTGAACCAATTAACCTGTTTTAGCCATGTCATATTGCATCTTCTACACACCCTAATATCAAATAGCAATGATAAGATTTCATGATCATTAATCCCTTTCATATTCAATAAAACCTGTTTTAAGAAATACAATCTCTTTATTCTTAATATTGTATTCATAAAATGCACTAAAACTCCAGTGTTTCTGTAGGAGATTATCTTCTATAACACATAATACTTATGACCTAGGCAAGTGCTTCTATAGAAGTGTGTCTTCTGTAACACCTACTACTTGTGACCTAGGCCAGTGTTTCTATAGGAGAGTATCTCTTATAACACCTAATACTTGTGACCTAGGCCAGTGTTTCTATAGGAGAATATCTCTTATAACTCCTAATACTTGTGACCTTGGCCAGTGTTTCTTTAGGAGAATATCTCTTATAACTCCTAATACTTGTGACCTTGACCAGTGCTTCTATAGGAGAATATCTCTTATAACTCCTAATACTTGTGACCTTGACCAGTGCTTCTATAGGAGAATATCTCTTATAACTCCTAATACTTGTGACCTTGACCAGTGCTTCTATAGGAGAATATCTCTTATAACTCCTAATACTTGTGACCTTGACCAGTGCTTCTATAGGAGAATATCTCTTATAACTCCTAATACTTGTGACCTTGACCAGTGCTTCTATAGGAAAATATCTCTTATAACATTCTGTAATAAAAGTTGTTTGTTTTTATTATTTTTATTGCCTTCAAGGTTTATGACGAAGTTTGTAATAGCTTGACATTCTGAAGATATACTTAAAAGACCCATACCAAATTGATTTCATTTATTTTTCTGCCAAGTCCCGTACCAAGTTTTCTCAACCATGTTGCAAGCCCTGGATATCAGTCAAGAAGAAAATTTCTGCATCCAGCCATGTGACCATTTTAGTTGGCGACTAGATTCTTTCATGTGTGTTGCTGAACAAAAAATCTCCAGTCAGTTGTTTTCGACTAAGTTGATATCATGTGGAGATCATGTGATTGAAAGGAAAATGAATCTGATTGGATTATGATGCTCTGTCTAGCAAATGCGAAATGCACCCTTAAATAGCCTTAGAAATCTTCAGCCATTAAAGGTGAACGGTCAACATTTTTGGTCGTTGATTTGGGACTTGAATGTAACGTAAATTAGGACAATCAAGGGTAAAATACCCATGTGGGTTTGCTCCGTTAAACTTCTAGTTATGCACCTAAAGCTACACCTGTGTTGTAACACCTTTATTTGGTTTTCTTTATTTTACTTACTAAAACATAATACATATTGACAAAGGAAGTCTACATTAATTTTTAATATGTTTCAAGATAGCAGGGATACTGATTTAGTTACATTTACCAGTCATGTTTGAATACAACAATAGAATACAACTAAATCCATCTTTAATCAGATCGGGACCATAGATTAGAGCATAACCTCCAAGGAATACCCAAAGAAATACAATCCAAACCGCAAAACAAAACCTGAAATCCAAACAACATATTGGCAAACATTGGTAGCAGCTAATGAACTTTTCAAATGAGGAAGTATATCAATCATAAGTGAGTATTTCATAAGGAAAAGTAGTATCAGGTGTCTAGAAGAGTAAGAATACCCTGCCTGGTGCCACACCTGCCCTAGCTGTGGAATACAATTAGGAAGTACAAAAAAAAATAGAGACACGACTGATGAAGATCAATAATTCAAGTTATCAATAAAAACTAATGTCAGCAAGTTCAAATTCATATAAGTTTAATAACCATAGAATAAAATATTAATATTTAATTCAATAGGCTACAGTTATAATGCTTTTATTTTATCAATAAAACATGTAAAAACAACTTATTGTTATCAACATTTAAAGGTAGTCTACCTCTTAAAATGAACAGGAATTTAAAATTCTAAAATTGCTTTATTTATCTTTCAAATTAGAATATAAAAACAGAACCTAAAAACATAGATTATTCAGGGATTCTGTTGTATATTTATGACACCAGGTAAAATGAATGAATACATACTCTTATTGACCAATTTTAAAGATCTAAATTTTCTGTTTAATTTAAGAGGTAGTATACCTTTAAATATAGATAACCATAATTTAGATATTAATATTTCTATATTTTATTTATTATAAGAGGTAGTTTTAATATAGATAATAATATATTTAGTCATTTATTATACGCATATAGTATATCATGTTAAATTTATTTGTGCAGAAATCTAAGAATGATAAAGCTGTCTAAATATTTGTTTTACCAGGTAAAAGAGTTAGATTACAACTATCATCTACCTATCCTTTTATCTAAAGTTAAACTGTCGTCAATGCTTGCCTACTTGTAATAATGCAAGTGATGTAATTGTGGTCTGAAAGTTAGTATGTAAGAGTTGTCTATGAAAGGAGATGTGAGTGTCAGACAGTGAATTATAAAAAAGGTTATTAGTTTTACAGATTTAATTATATATCAATATATAAATATTGTGGAATAAGTCTATTGGTTATAATATTAGTATTAAGAGTGAGGAGGTTTAAAGAAACTCCTATGTAAAGAAACTGACCGAGGTCACACCGAGATCTGCTGAGAAATAGGGTGGAGTTGACATAGTTATTTGTGTAATGTTTTAGTGATGTAATTGTGGTCTGAAAGTAAGTATGTAAGAGTTGTCTGTATGAGAAAAGACAGGAGTATGTGTGATAGAAAAATGTTATATGAGAGGTTTAATAATAATAATAATATTCAACTTTGTATTTCACATGGGTCAGAAGAAGGTCCAGTAGGCCTACACCAAATTAGACATGGTCCTGTCTACAGCCCTGTCGTGAGGGTGGGGTCCGTGGGGGCTGGTCCCCAGCAAGTGAGAATTAAGCAGCAGCAAAACCTTCTTCAGTTAGCAGAGATTGATTCATTTACAGTGTACAAAATCAAAAAGATATAGATTCTGAAGGGATTGTCTAGGTTTTAAAAATTTTGTATGTGTAGCCTATAGGGGACACTGATAGCATCAATCAACACCATTCCCATTTTCATTCTTTGGTTCCTGTAATTCCAATAAAAATTTGATGATGTCACTAATCACAAAATATGCTTTAAAACATAAGGCCATTCACAGTTAGTGACATCATAAAATACTTAATTTGAGTGGAATTGTAGGAACCACAGATGTCTGATTGAAAATTGGAATGGTGCAAGTTGATGATATCAGTGTTCCAGATACAAATAACAAGTTTAGAAAACCTCTTTACAGTCCCTTTTTTCGGCCTTTTAGAATAAAGATTTTATTATTATTATTATTATTTACCTGGCAGTTTTAGTCGATGAGAGGTATAATCAGAGTTTTTAGCAGCCTTCGGTAAACTGTACAGCGTGACCACTAGATTTCTCGTGTACTCACTAATGTTATATTCTAAACAGTCCAATTTAAATTCAAGATTCTGAAAAATATTCAAAATTCATACAAAAATTAATATAGGAATATAAAAAATGATATAAAAACATTAAATACTCTTAAACCAAAATGTTAGTGTTAGGGTGTATTGAGATGAGTCTCAATGAAAGCACTGGCCTGGATCAGAGAGCAATAGATAAGTTAATTATGTGAAAATTAGTTAGTGAAATCATCTTTCTCAACAAGAAAAAAAAATCTTATTTTCACCTCCTCTTCCCATTTTTTTATCATTTGTTGATCAGTGATGAATATTTTATTTGTTACCGGCAATCAAGATACAAATAATGATAGATATTTTGATTTATGGTAGTGAATTTGGACATTGAAAACGGTAGCCCCGTGAAAATTTGGTCAAGAAAAAAACAAAAAGATAGAAGTCCTGTCAGTAGAGCGGTAGACAACATACAAAAGGGGTAGAAACCCGACAATATCGGTAGATTACACATGTATGTGAACAAAAAACAAAATACACGAAAGATGTGACTTTTTGAATAAATGAATAATTGGACATCAATCTGTTTAGCATGAATAAAGAAATAAAATTATGGGGAAATGGATGAATGAATGAATGAATGAATTATTTAACATACATGGACATCATCAACTGTTGACCAATCAATACCATTCAAATTAATATGAAAACATCTCATTGGTTGAACTTTAACATGAGCCATTGGTATGATGGAGTCAATGACCATTTCAAACCCTGTTACCACACTGTAAGAATCTTAAATTATAAAAATACAAACTCAGTCCATGTTATAGATCAGGTGTTTTCAATCTCTTAGTTTCTATTACCCCTTTCATAATCCTTGGTCAACTGCATTACCCCTTTCCCCCTATAAATCCTTACTATTACCTGCTTCCCTCACAAAATCTTTACTATTACCCCTTTCCCCTCTATAAATCATTACTATTACCTCCCTTCCTCCTATAAATCCTTACTATTACCTGCTTCCTTCACAAAATCTTTACTATTACCCCTTTCCCCCTATAAATCATTACTATTACCCCTTTCCCCCTATAAATCATTACTATTACCTCCCTTCCTCCTATAAATCTTTACTATTACCCCTTTCCCCCTATAAATCATTACTATTACCTCCCTTCCTCCTATAAATCATTACTATTACCTCCCTTCCTCCTATAAATCCTTACTATTACCTGCTTCCTTCACAAAATCTTTACTATTACCCCTTTCCCCCTATAAATCTTTACTATTACCTCCCTTCCTCCTATAAATCATTACTATTACCTCCCTTCCTCCTATAAATCATTACTATTACCTCCCTTCCCTCCTATAAATCCTTACTATTACCTGCTTCCTTCACAAAATCTTTACTGTTACCCCTTTCCCCCTATAAATCCTTACTATTACCTGCTTCCCCCTATAAATCCTTACTATTACCTGCTTCCTTCACAAAATCTTTACTATTACCCCTTTCCCCCTATAAATCCTTACTATTACCCCCTTCCCTTTTTAAATCCTTACTAATACCTACTTCCCTCAAAAATCTTTACTGTTACCCCTTTCCCCCTATAAATCCTTACTATTACCTGCTTCCCTCTATAAATCCTTACTATTACCCCCTTCCCTTTTTAAATCCTTACTATTACCTCCCTTTCACCCTATAAATCCTTACTATTACCTGCTTCCCTCTATAAATCCTTACTATTACCTGCTTGCCTCACAAAATCTTTACTATTTCCCTTTTCCCCCTATAAATCCTTACTATTACCCCCTTCCCTCTATAAATCCTTACTAATACCTACTTCCTTCAAAAAATCTTTACTATTTCCCCCTTCCCCCTATAAATCCTTACTAATACCTACTTCCCTCAAAAAATCTTTACTATTTCCCCCTTCCCCCTATAAATCCTTACTATTACCTGCTTGCCTCACAAAATCTTTACTATTTCCCCCTTCCCCCTATAAATCCTTACTAATACCCCCTTCCCTCTATAAATCATTACTAATACCTACTTCCCTCAAAAAATCTTTACTATTACCCCCTTCCCCCTATAAATCCTTACTATTACCCCCTTCCCTCTATAAATCCTTACTAATACCTACTTCCCTCAAAAAATCTTTACTATTACCCCCTTCCCCCTATAAATCCTTACTATTACTGAAGTAGAGTCAGAAAAAAATAGGCTTTGTTTATGCAGAAAATCGCCACAAAACAGGGTTTATTTTTTCTTTGTCTATACCTGCCGACAACTTTAAAAATAGCTATTTGAGTTTGGAACAGAAGCAGATGATTCGGTCTAACATTGTCATATTAGATTGGTCCCCATAAAATTTGATTAGCCTATACCTTTACGTCCAAACCCCGTAGGCCTACCTTTAGCCACGAGCTATCGACTTGAAATTAGGCAGAAAAGTACTTGAATGTGTCTTGAATATTCATTGCAAATTTCAATCAATTCCAATGGTTTATTCCATGTTAAATTAAATTTCAGATTACACGATTTTTTTCTTCTCATGGTAATGGTGTAATAAGCAAAGGTACTGTACTGAACTGAACTATTGTTTAGTCGTACTTGTTTTGTCAACCGATTCATTCGCGAATAATTGTCATTGTTTGGAGGTTTTGTAACGGCTGCAGAAGCAATTATTTTCATAATTGTTTAAAAACTAGTATGGCTATTTAGTGCTTGACATATTTTTCGATCGAGGTACAGATCTTAAATAACAATGAGACTGAGTGGGATGTAGGCTACTCCTTCCTCTCAAGATTTTCAGACCATTG